TGATTGACAGAAGCCAAGGCGGCTCGAGCAACCGACGGAGAGATGGATCGATCTCCAGGCCGGCCGGTGGTGGTTGGTTTCAAATCAGATGGCAGACGGCCGGATGGACGCGCTGAGTGACGGACGCGGCGACGGACCGACCGACAGATTAAATGAGAGATAAATGGGGAGTTGGTTGGGTGGAAGAAAAGGAAAGACAGGCAGATAAATAGACTTGGTGGGCTAGTTTGGGCATCCAGAAAAAAAAGAAGATCAACACACAGACGGAGAGATGTGATGGGTCAAACCGTTAGCACGCCGCAGAGGTCTGCGTTCTCTTCATAAACTTTCCTCATCAAAGCGGGAAGACAAGCAAAATGATTCCCCTCCCAAAAGTATGCTAATGAGTTTTGAGCGCGCCATGAATTAGCCCGCGGCGTTCTACCGAGACGGGTGTACACGTCTCCTGCTGTCAGGCGGCGTGAAGGGTGACTCGGGCATCATTTGCATACAAATCCCATTAAGTGGACGTTAGCGAGCGAGCGAGTACGCCGCCGTTGCCTCGGAACACTGACGGGGGACGCCGGGGGTCAAAATCAGCACGGCGGCTGTGAGCGGAAAGATGAACAAGGGAGAAATTTATGTTGCGGCATTAAAAATAATAAATACAAAATTAAAAAGGCTGACTCAACTTGATCACAGAATGTTTTGTGGTAATAGCCCAGGAACCGTGCGCTTAACATATGTTCTCCGGATACCCACATATCGTTGCGAACCTCACTCCATTCACTTTGGGTCGAGATTGAATGACATGATATTTTTCAAATTCTCCACATCAGTGTGGCAACTTTGCCAAAAGTTATTCCCTTCACTGCACACCAAAATGTCATTTAGCTATTGACAGCACCCGTGAGACATTAAAGCTGTTACGCTGCAATACGTATTTGATCCAAATTCCCCAATTGAGATTCGTTGGGATTATGAATTTGATGGCGCAACCCCGCGTGGCCCGTGCGTTATTCAAGGAAGGGTGGCAGTGCCTCTAATGAGATTTTACAGCGCGGGAGTTGCCGATCTGTGCTAATGAGAGCCCGTGCAGTTCAAATGAAAAGGCTCCGGACCCTCGACAAACAGCCGGCGGGTAAATAAAATAGTGCTAATTAGCATTCCCATGTCCTCCTGCTGGGCCTCGGCATGATCATGCCGTGCGCTTTTCGTTGCCCACTTTCAGGCTGGGGGGGGCGGCTAAGAATTATTGATGCGTATCATAAAACAAAAACTCATACGTACGGAGCGCGACGTGGAGGGGTGGAGGGTTTATACTATGGGCGAAATATCAACATAAGGTGTTCGGGTAGAGAAAACGTGCAGGGCTGAAGTCAAGGGACAGTCATATGATATATGGTTTTCATCCGGGATCATGATATTCATTGACACGACGGAATTTTATTTGAGTCTGGGGATGAGCGACAAAGACATTCTGAAAAGCTCACCATTGACGATAAGGGAATAAAAGACAGTCGCTTTTGACGGCAACCGCGCGTGGCAGTTTTCCGAGCGTTTCTGTCTCTTTTCCTGTACGACGTCGAGTCCCGCGCCAGATGAAAACTAAAAAGACAACTTGTGTGTGTTTCCAGTGTTTATGAGAGTACTATAAAAACACAACACCACATTAATATGTCATCAATACTGCGGTTGAATGTTGGGAACAGACAGTAAATCGTTTTGTGGCTTCTTCCTCTCACTTTTTTTTTTCCCCCTTCATTTTTTTTTAAACATAACTCACTCTCAGCCTTGTTCTTATTAGATTTCATGCAGAAAGACATTTTGAAAATGCGCAAATCACACCAGTGGAGCAATGAGAAGACGAGTCGGTTCACGCTGCAACGCATTTTTACGTTGCAAACAGACCGTGGTGAAAGTCTGGCATTTGATTCTTTTTGTGATTATTATTTCAACAAGCGTCAATAGAAAATATTGACATCAATGCATTTCTATTTTTAATTTGAGATCTTGGGGGATGTATTCATCTATAAAATATCATACGTTTGAAAAAGTGTATTTCGGTGCCCCCCGCAATATCGTTTGTGCAAAATAATGACAAGGAATTTGCTCCATTTTGAATTGCCTTCGGTTGCTAGCTCCTCACGAAGGATGGCGGTGGTTCATCCTCTCATGCTTGCTCAACTGCGCTCTCGCATGATGACACTTTGACTTTTCACTTTGAGTTTAGCGTGACTTTTGAAATGCACTTTCTCCCAAATTTCCCTCACACACCTTTTTGGACGATCCCTGGAAACGCAGCCACTAGACACAAGCTAATCCTTCGAAGCACGTCAAACTCAGCACTTCCATGTCTTTTTTTTTTTTTTTTTTAAGCGACAGTGGAATGTATCTGGACAGATTTTTAACTTCAGTGCCCAATCTGAACAAGTGTATCACTGGAAGAAATTATTACATGGTATGGGACTCGACATAAATCACCCAATTAGAGATACTGAGAATAGAAATAAGAGCATGAGGGGAAAAACTCGAAGCATATCAAATAAGGCAGAGGGAATTATTGAGTGGGATCAAGCAGACAGCAACTCCAAGTTGGAATACGGCTACAGTATCATCATGCACACGTGGAGGACCACACATGTGGACTTGATATGCTTCCATGCAGCTAACAGCGCATCGCTCCTTGCACGTACAGTTAAAGTGGAATGATTCCTCCCCCCCGGAGGGAGGCGTCTATCATAAATATGGAAAACCCGCAGCATGCCTTTCTTCCTGCTTCGGCACACGCCAGCGTCGGCGTGTTTGCGCCAGCCGGCTAAGCGCGACGGCAACGGTTTCGGTCGCTCATTGGCCGACCATCAATGTGTGTGTTCCCCGTCGACGTTGGTGTTCTTCCCCCCCCCACCCCCCACTGGCCTCAGCCCGGAGGAATTGCAGCCGGTTGGGAAAGTGACTCAGCCGAGCTTGATTGTGCGCATGAAGCTTGTTTAGGTTTACGCCGTTTCCACGAGAATCCGCCCGGTAATCCTCGGTGTGGCTTAGAGAGAAGCGAAGAGAGCCACATGCATCCATCCCATCATCATCGAGCAAAAAAAAAAAAAAAAAGATCACAAACAGAATTACTTATTAACTTGGAATGAAAAATCTTGCACAATGAGCCACATGCTGCTTCATCAAGTGTAAAGACAAACAAATTGTTGACATTACTGTAAGGCAATAACTAACACGTCCCAAACTGTACAAGTGATATTTTTAGTCGACTTTGAACAACTTCAACTGTTATACAACTGCAAACAGGAAGAAGCTAAAGAATTTTTTGTGGAACTTGAGAGTGACAGCCAACAAAGAAAAAACAAAAAAAGTGCACACTGAACTGAGACACGAACATGTCAATGGTTCAGATTCAGACATTTTATACAAGATTAGATTTTGAGAAAAATGTACTAGAAGTGCGCGTGTCCATGCACATGTAATTAAAAAAAAAATTATTCGGCAAATAACCCAGGCACATCTTAGCTCCTCCCTGACCAAGATTGTTACTTTGTTCGTTGAGCTATAGAATCTGGACATATTATTCTTAACACCACTTACTACTTTTGTTTTCGCCAGGGCCTCGGCGCCATCTTGTGGCGTCTTGTGGGTTCACCTCACGAAAAATGTGAAGATGTAAATTTGTAAATAGTGAACCAAGGGTTCAAAATGCCAAATAAAAATCCAAAAACACTCATTAATCCTTGCGTGCCAAACTGAGCTCGAATGAGCTTTCGGGGAAAACAAAGCCCCCCCCAATTTTTTTTTCTTTTACTGTAAAGGCCAGCAAGTCTTACGTTTTCCTCCTTTTTCTCATCAAGAATCGTCAGTGGCACAAGACAGACGTGTATTTATTTGAGTTGGGGCATTCGGTGGAGGGAAAGGGACTCGAGCTTACGGCCAAAGCCATGAGGAGCCATGGTAACGCTCTACTGAGCTGACACGTTCTGCTGAAACACACACACACACACACACACACACACACACACACACACACACACACACACACACACACGCACACACACGCACACACATGCACACACACGCACACACATGCACAAAGCCACTTCCCAGACTTTTCCACAGCTGTCATATATCTCTGTATGTGTAGCGCTAATGGAGGGATAAAGAGTGTTCTGTGTACTCTGAATGTGTGTGTGTGATTATTTCTTTCTCTAGTTATTTATTTTTATATTTGATTTGTCTCCTTTACTTTCGGGAGTTGTCTCTGTCTACGAGCCAGTATCTGAAGAGAGACAGACACGCACACGCAGTTACACGTTCGTGCGGGCTCGTGCAGAAGGGGAAGACATTAGTAGCTGCAAAAGAGGCACACAATAAAGGTGTTGTTGCAACTGCTTCTGTCAAAGACAATAAACTATTCCTGGTAATAAATTGTAAGTAGTCCAAGAAGGTTTTAGTGCGGCGAAACCCCCAATCCCTCCAACCACCACCCGCCACATACACACCCAGAATCTCCCTCCCGCACACCCCACATGTCATAATGTCCATTATAATGCTTCTTTGTTTTACTATTCCAGCTGATATCTAACACAAATTAGTTTACAAGGGATGCTTGAAAAGACTTTTTTTATCTTAACTGATTAAATTTTTTCTCATTATCTCATTTTTCTAATCATATTTATGACGGTGATGTGTCAACATGATATGAAAACGCGTATTTGGGGCACAGTTAAAAAAAAAAAAAAAAAGAAAACAAAATGATTTAACTGCAAGAATAAAGTAGAAATATGAGGGAGGATTTTTTTTTTAATCTTAACCAAATAAAGTCAAAATGTTGTGGGAACACAGTCACAATTTTAGTTGCTGCTCCGTGTGTTTCACAGCGGCAGTTGTTTGAAGGTTGATGACTACCGATAAAGCGGATGCTAATTTACCTTAGCCCAGATATGACATTAATTGTTGTGATGTTCACTGAACTTCATCGTTCATTACACTTGAATATAACTTTTGCTCATCATCCTTACCTTTCGTCGCTGATTGGCTGGTACAGATGACATGACGGCCTTATAGTGGGCCGCCTGAAAGCCTTGCGGTGATACGGAGCTTGGCAGCCCAAAAAAAAAAAAAAAGGGAGAGAGAAAAAGAAAAACATGAGAAATGGCTGAAAAGTAGAAGTTTCTACATTGATAAATCAGCAGCGTTGATCTGAGCGGAATAATGAACTGAGGCCACACGGGAACAAATGTAATAAATGTGAGCGTCCACTCTTTAGGACCCCCCCCCCCACCACCACCACCAACATTTGCATTGCAGACGTATGTATCGTGCCGTAATGGATGACCCCTGCGGGGGTGGCGAGGCGCTGTAATGAAAAATAAATTCACACTCAGTGAGCGATCGTCGTTCTAAAGCGGGACATCAGTCATGTGCGATGGATTAAATGTGGTGGGCAACTTGCGGAACTTTTTTGCAGAGTCTTGGTGCGGGCGGGGTGGGGGTCGTTTTTTTTTTTTTTCCCCCGCAATGAATAATTCATGCGTGCTATCCTCAACTGGCATCAGTCATTTGAACGGCAAAATCTGCGGGCTCTTGGCAACCTGTTGATATTTCAGAGCTTCATTTTGTTTCCAGTCTGTGCCACCAACCCAACCACACACACATTAGCCACTGTATGTGTCAGAGGTTTTGATTCAGTGCTTGTCAAAAAAATAAATAAATAAATAAAATAAAACGAACGGAAGATTCCGACCGCCGACATTGGCTCCCATTTTGGAGCTCACCCACCTGAGATGAGCGGATACATTTGGCCTCTTGTCCTGTGATTAATTGTCCTAATTTAATGTTTCATCATCTCTGCTAATGACTCATTTTTTGTTTTCCAGAGATGGAAATTAAGCTTTTTGCACTCAGCAGTTCAGTTTTTAGGCATCGAACGGAAGACGCGATGGACAGATGCGCAAAATAGCCGCCATGTTTGTCGATAGCAATATAATCGCACTGGGGTCGGTATACAGGGCGTCCCAAAAGTCACCGACTCGGTTTTAGAGCTTTTTCTGTCTCCGAAGTTCAAGAGCTGCCCTTTAGATGGACTAATCCCGATTTACCGTGAATAACGTAAAGTGTATAAAGCGTGCGGAGCAACGCGGCAACCGTAAAGCTTCTCAAATTGGCGCCAAAGTGCAGTCGGGGACAGAAAGTCTGTCAGGTGGCAAAGTTTGCAAAACTGCCCCAATGTCAACTGGTGAGCCACGAGGACGGCGGCAACGATACGCTTCCAAAAACTGCAAAGCGTATGCTGTCAAATACTGATGACCTCACGTCGATCGGAATGATACCTCCAACGAAATAGAAAGAAGAAAGCGGATAGTGACTTTTGGGACCACCCTGTATTTACGGACGTGGAGTGGGGAATGAAGTCGGCGCTGCAATTTTTTTTCCAATTTCAGGGGTATGATCACAGCCTATAAACCATGGGGAGGCAAACTTTTACTCGGGAGGGGGGGGCACATAAGCCAAGTTGTTTGTGCTTTTGCTTCGAACCTGTTGAAATGAATATCTAAAAGTCCTTCTCGACATTCTAATGCATTAAGACTAAAGGAATACGTTTCTGCTCTTTGTGCCAATGTCGCCATTCCATATGAACGATCTAAAAATGGAATGGAGTTAAGTCGACCCAACAATTGACACTAAAAGACACAACTTGTATTTTTGGGGGAGGGGGGGGGAGCGAAAGCAGTCATTTCAGTGAAAACAACTTTAAAATATAAACTATTGACATCCATGGCAACAAAGTTAGTTAGCGCAACGAAGCAATCAAGTTGTTTGCCCCAGTTACATTTGCTGCATTGTTTGTCGAAGATGTGGGAGAGACAATTTTCACGAAAGGAAAAATATATATGTTGGTGAATCGTCCAATTTAAAAGTTCAAAGTCAACGTTTGTTGGTTTCAAATGTTGTCCATTTTTTTTAAAAAGCGTAAACACAGGCTAACCAAGATTAGCATCGATGTTACAGTAAGTGTAATCCTTCCCAAAAAAAAAAAAAAAAATGACATTCTAAACAAACGCAGTGCAGCGACACATGCAAACAGAGCATACAACAATACTTACAGGCGTATAATTCTCTCGGCTACAGTTCAGTAGGGGACCTTCTCTGCCTATTCTTCATGCTCTTTATTACGTGGCAACTCTTGCGGTAGACTTGGCATGTTGCAGCATGACGTGGCGCTGTACTGAAGGCGTGCCAGTCTAGGTTTAGATTTGCCTTCATGCTGCAAAAAAAAAAAAAAAAACACGAACATGAACAATGAAGTGCCATTTCACGTGGGAACACAATTTCCGATGTGAACTGAAGAACAGAAGACACACAGGTGGTTATTATGGCTGGACGAGATACATTTAGAACTATTACTCATCTAATCCACTTTGCAGGAGAAAGCCAAGCTCCACCTTTGGCACATTGTTTTTTGTTTTTTTTTTTGTTTGTTTTTTTTTTTTTTTTTTGCTGCTGCTCTCTCATTTAACAGCAAGAGAGTGCAGTGCATGTGTCAAATGTTGCACAATTGGCTGCGATGCCAGGGTCGCATGACTCACAGAGAACTCACACGCAGCCGAGTCAATTATGGACGAGTTCAATGAGGATGTGGACACAAACGCGAAAAACTACTCGAGATAAAGGCCAACGGCTGTTGCACACGCCATTTGGAGACGCGATGAAATATTGGTTTCAGTATGAAGTCTGTAGGATGCAGTAAATTGTAAATTCCATGACGTGGAAATAAATGCTATATTAGTTCACCGCTGACCAATTTCTGTGGCTGCGGGCAGGTGGTCTTTGCGCCCACATCACGCACCTTCATTGAGCGTCATATTCCCCGTCACGTGTAAAATAGAAACGTTTAAGTCTCCTTTTTGATCGGGTTGAAGCTAATTTCTGGGTCGACTTCTGTGGTTTTAATTAGCAGTTGGGCGTTTGGGGTTTTGCTCGAGGGCATTTCATTGGCGCTCATAAAGGAAACGCTTTCCAGCAAGCAGCCTCCACTGTTGTGGTGCACGGTCGGTCTCAAAGCTGCCTGAGCGACTGCCGCTCCCAATAAAGAGTGTATTGATTCGCGCTGCGTGGCAACAACACATCTCTGTGTCCACCGGAAAATATTCTGTTCCCTTGCTGTCTTTGTGTGCCGATAATTTAACGCGCGCGCTGAACCTGTTTTATTTATTTATTTATTTTTGACTTTCTCACTACAGTATTTGTGTACAAGCGGGTGCCGGGTGCCGGTGTCCTCACTTCACCTCCCCCAATCACTGTAAATCCTGCGCGTAACTGACTCATGCTGTCAAGATGCGTGCGCGGCCACGGCTATAATTTTTGTCAAACTGCGTCAGGCTGTCCTGAGCGCGGGGATATTTATACGCGCCTTCTCTCTGCGTCAGCCAAATGAACTGGCCCTAAACACAACATTATCACTTGCGCTCGCACGCACAAGCACGCGGACCTTCTCTGTCCGCCACGGGTGGGTGGGGGAAACTCTGGCCCGTGGGCCACGTATGGCCCAGAGTGCAGGTCTTCTCCGTAAACATAGCCTTCCATGTAATGTGACCATTAATGCACAATTTTCTTATTACCGGTTCGTACGCAAAGGCTCATTTTCTCTGGCAATTTGTCTTCAAGCTATCGCTGTACTTTGAATGAGTGCACTATTAGTCAAAAAGATGTTGAGTGAGGTCAACATTGCACTGCTGTCATTCCACTTTACGACAACAGGGGGAGCCTGGGAGCAAATACAAAAGCCCATTAGGAACATCTTTTTTCGGGGACCATCACTAAAAGAAGGTCGAAACATTTATTGGACATTCATGATATCCATCTTAAGGTCCATCTTAAGGGTACTAGTGTGCTCTTCGTCCTCATTAGTAGGACAACTTGGGCATACTAGTACAACAGCGATGTGATATGAATGAGGCAAATTTGTGCATTAGCTGCACACTCCTATTACTAGGAGTGAAATTCTAGGTGTCATGTCATCACTAGTAGCACACAGGTGTCGACGAATGCAGCTGTTGCCCTACGAGCGAGGACAAAGTGCGCACGAGTACCTAAAGTGGAGTACCACAGGTAATCAAATAAATGCTCAAACTGATTTTTTTACGAGCAAGACTTGGTCGTTCTATTAAACTACTTCATTGTCCGACTTGTGAGGACAAAGCGCATCCTCTCTGTGAGTCGTGAAGTATTTCTCAGCGATTAGTTTCTAGTACCCAACTACCCTAAACTCAAGCAAGTCGAGTCAAATTGGCAGTGTTGCTTCTGCTGGCCGGATAATCGCAAAAATGCCTGCTCGGGATGAAGATGTGAAAGTCCTTGCACATTTTCTCGGAGGTGCTTCAGGGGTTGCTGGGCCTTGTCGGAGTTTGTCGCAAGCGACGGACTGAACAAAAAGAATCAATTATCCAATGATCTCTGCACGTGTAAGGGATGCGAGCTTAAGCCCCTCGTCTTTCCTGGGGCTTTGAAAAACATCAGAACAAGGCTAGGAACAAGGTGACTTTCCCTTGTATTTTTTTTTGGGGGGGGGGGGATACCACTGTGACCCAAATCCTCAAGTTGCGAGACAAATCCTTCAGCCACTTCTTCAGTGGTGCTGAAAAGGAAGTTGAACTTGTGGTCACAGCAGAAGCAGTCGGGGGGGGGTTGTCAGGGATACAAGGACATTTTCATCATAGTTTAGGGGTGTATTTATGGTATTACTATTCATATAAAAGATTCTCAAATCATTTTAGGGGTCGTCAATGACTCAGGGGCGGAGCCCTGCCACGGACAGCAAAAATCTGCCTAAAAAGGTTGACAATTGCATTCAAATGCTACAAGATGCCAAAGCATGACTCCCTTTCCCAACTCACTGCAACATAGTTCCTTGGCACCCAGATGCCACATGGTTGCAAAGAGGCGAATTTAGCATCAAATAACAAGGGAGAGGTTAAAAAATAAATCTGTGAAAATGTGAACTTGTGACAAGTTTGTCTTAACTTTGAAGGATTTGATGTCTTTTTCCATACGGCTCCAATCCAATTTATCAGCTCGGCAAATTTGACTTCTTCATCTACCGCATGACAATTTCTTGCGGAAGCGTGCTGCCGTTGCGCAGGAAACAAAAACAGTGTTGGGTTTTCTTTCCCTTTGGGCTTCTGTGTGAGTGCGTAAATCCGAGAAGCGACACAACCGATGACGTCCAACCTTGTTGCATTATTGACGCCGCAGCTACCAAGCCGCGTCGGCCTTGAGGGAGTCCTGCTGAGTAACGATTTGGGGGGGCGATGCAAGACTGATTTTGCCGATGGGCGCTCACACAGAATTTAGAGCATGGGGTGTTGGATTAAAAAAAAAAAAAAAAGACGTGCAGCAGCAGGAAAGGAAAAAGCAATGAGTGCATTCCGAATGCTTTGAATGTGTTCATAAAATTCAGCTCATCAATTATTGACAGGAAGAGAGGCTGAGGGAGATGCACAGACATTGAGGAACACGCTTAAGACGTCCCCTAAATTCATAGAAACTCCACTCCAAAAATCACACCCATGAATAATAATAATAATACAACAATCAAGAATAGGAAACGAACTTAAAGAGTGAAATCTGCTAAATAATTCACATCATCTTTATAGGGCACGCACAGTTTGAATGTGGCGTAAGATGGACGGTATTCAATCATGCATTCAAATGGAGAATTTTATTTTATTTTTTTAAGTCAGCGAGAAAAAGAAAAGGAATAGAGACGTTTTTCACTGGAAACAATAGGGAGAGGAAAAATGCAGTCGGTGCGGCGGTACAAAAGGTCAGCGGGGGTCGCGGCGTGATTTTCGGTTGAGCATCTGCGATGAAAGATGAAATAGAAATGTTCAAATCACCCCAGACAGAGAAATGAAATGACAGAGCTCTTTCCTCTTAAGAAGGCTCCTTGGCTAGCGCACAGCCAAGAAGAGGACTGGGCTGAGACAAAAAGCAACGAGTCATGGCCTGAGAATCACATCTTGTGGGGGAAAAAAAAAAAAGATTCATCATGATCCATATAACAGCATTTTACTGACTAACTTGAATTGTACCACGCAACCCCTAAGGGCCCCTAACCATGGACATATTTAGACCCGTTTTAGGGGTGCCGGAGCACAGGGCCGAGCAAAAATAGCAAAAATCCAAGAGGAATTGACACCCAGCCAAAAAAGGCTTCACAATTGCCTCAAGAAGTCACAAAGGGGTGGCAAAGCACTACTTTGGTCAAAATGAATCTTCTCAACATGGTTCCTCGGGCAATAACATGTCACAAGATGGCGCCAAAGCACAATTTATGGCTAAATGAAGCTCCTCATTCCACCCTGACACAGTTCCTTGGCACCAATATGCCCCAAAACGACGCTAATGTCAAAAGTAGTAGAATAATTGGTCGAAGGAAGTATGCTGGAGTGACAGAGAGGCAAGCTTTGCATCTCAGGGAGTACCTACGTTTAGCCTGGGTTGTTCAGACAAGGCGTTATTTCACGGTAAAAAAAGTACATTTTATAAGAATTTATGATAGGAAAAAATATTTTAGAAGAAAAAGCTACATTTATGTGAATACATTTTAATCGTTTGAAAAAAAAGGCCAAATTGAATAGGAATAAAGTTTAAATTTTACGCCCCCTCAAAAAAAAGAGTAAATCCTTAAAAAACACTCAAAAAGTCACAATTTCATGAGAATAACCATCAAAATATGATGAGAATTCAATTGAAGTTGTAATTTTACAAAAAAAATCAAATATTCTATCATTCCATTTTAAAAGAATCATTCGAGGTTCCATTCCTGAGGTGACTAATTCAAAACTTCCTTTTGTTTCTACTCAGTCACACGACTCTAAGCAAATATATCCCATCTTTTATCAAACACAAAAAAAAAAAAATCACGCTCCGAAAAAGGAATGAAAAACCTGAGAGAATAATCAAAAGTTGTATGTGTGTCTGATCTTGTCCTCCCTCCTCAAGCTGCTCTTTTCTTGGTGAATATAAACTACTTATATGTGTCTGTGTGTGTGTGTCTCTGCTCAAGACGCATTTGCCAACCAAATTGCCCCAAAAAATAAATAAATAAAAATCTTCCAGGAGGTTTGGAGTTTCATGCCTCGCCTTCAATATTTCATAAGACAATTTGCATAAGTTCAAATAAGAACTCATCACCTCGGCTTTTGCATTTTGATGTGATGTGATGTGATGCGCTCTCGACTGATCGTTGCGTTCATGTTCGTT